ATTCTGCCTCATCTATATTCCAATACCATTCCAGAAAAGGCTTTCTACCTTCTGTCGAACACCAATTGTAGGGCAACCCACAAGGTCTCTCTCTTTGCCCTAGAAGCAAAGAAAATCCAGGCAAGAGTTATTAATGAGATTGCAGTCAACTGCTTTGGGGATGCTCTTATTTAACCATTATATCTTTTAATAACTAATGTTTCTTATCTGTATTCAATTTCACCCTTTTAATAATACAAGTTACATGTGATTTATGTAGTATTTTTAAGATGTAGGTTTTATATATGATTCTAGGTGGCAATGTGACCTTATGCAGTATTTTATATTGTCGGTTCTTGTATCGCAACTATTTATCTGACATGTGAATGGCCCATGGCCCAAACATTAATAAACTATTACTGTGTTGTCTGAATTCAAGAGCTGGAATCATTAAATTTTAAACAATGCCTTAGAAAACCATAATGGGGTGATCTACCCCACACGGACACAGCTCCATGCACTGGAAGAAGGAATGTTAAAACCCATTGGGGTATTCCACCCCAACCCCTTTGTCTGTACACATGGGCATATGAGCTGTTTAATATTTTGCTTCTCCCTGACTTCATAGGATCATAGGATTCTGACAGGGGTGCCAACTTGAATAAAATATGGGGGGGGCGGAGCGGTGGTAAGTTCCACTCCATATAATTGATCACATGATGAGGTGCATGTACACCATTTGAATGGCAATGCCAATCAACCGGAGGGGGGCTCAAATATTTTATTGGGGCCCCCAAAGACCCCTCTGCCACTAGGAGTTGGCTCCTATGGATTCTATGCATCTTCATCTCCACAGAAGGTGAAGGAGGTTTGCCAACAGAAACGTCTTTGTTGTCAACTGAGAAAACAGAAAGGAGAGGTTCCATCAGAATACTGGAAGAACTTTTGAGTCCTCCTGTTTATAAGAACATCAATGAACCTGACTGGATCAGGCCAATGAGCTGTCTGTCCCAAATCCTTTTCTCACAGTGATCAACCAGATGTCCAGGTGCTTGGATCATGCTTGCATCTGGTCAGCCTCTGTGAAAACAAGATGCTGACATAGATGGGCCATTGGCTTGATCTAGCAGGATGTTCTTATGTTATTAACAGGAAGTTAAGAACCTGCGTCCACAGCATGGTTCACGCTAGTGATTCCCAACAGTTAGTACTCAGAGGCAAACTACCAGTGAATCGAGAATCTAGTCATCCTTGTTAGTAACTGCCAACAACCATTCCCTCAACTAGCTCCCATAATAGGCAAAAGGAGGGTATATGTGGGGCCTGGGGCTGGCAAACAGACCTATGGAAAGGAAAACTTAAAGAAAAATGGGGGGGGGGGAGCAAAGCAGGGAAGGGGAGAATAAAGAAATTGCATCCTTCCTTCCCTTCTTCTGTGCCAGCATGAGCCCGGTAGAGCTTAGGATTTTTGGCAGTTCCTGTAGCTTCCATCCACCCTTTCCCGTCGCTTTTTGGATTGCTCTGTAATTTAGCAAAATGATGCTTGATATTACTGGCTTAGAATTCACCAAGTCTTAAGTGCTGCTGTTAAAAGTCCCCCACCCCTGTTCAAGAGCAACATTTAGTCCTTTTTAAACTACCAGAAACAGTTTGCATTGCAGAATTCTGAAAGCGTTCAAATTTCAAAATTTGGGGCCAGTACACATACATGTGCCACTGAAACTCTAAGTACTAGAAAGACTATCATATATTCACCATATCACTTCATATAAACCTTTCAATGTTTCTAAAATGAAACTTTAATGTTCTGTTCCATCATATCTTTTTTTGGAAAAAAAACATGCTAGATATCAGCCTGTTTTTCTTTTACAAATATATACATATCATCTCTAAAATCTAAATATCAAATATTTAAGTGTGCTTAATCATCAAAATTCCTTCCCTTTACAGAAGCAAGCAGTCTGAGGTTTAAACTGGCCACATCCACGCTATGCATTTAAACCACCATGATACCACTTTAACAATCATGGCTTTTCCTAAAGAATTGTGGGAACTGTAGTTTGTTAAGATTGCTGGGAGTTGCTAGGGTACACTTACTCCCTTCAAAGCACTAACAATCAGTTCCTCTTCCCACGGAAATCTGAGATATGAAGATCTGCGAGGGGAATGTTGGTCTCCTAATAACTCTCAGCACCCCTTACAAACTACAGTTCCCACAGTTCTTTAGGGGAAGCCATGGCAATCAAAGTGGTGTCACAGTGTTTTAAATCCATGGTGCAGATGTGGCCTCTTACACCTAGTTCTTTATTTAAAGAGGTGGGTGAATACAGAACTGGTCTTACATGTGCACAAGTCTGGCTTCCCAGACTGGGACCAGAAAGTAATGGGAAATTCCCTTTCTTTCTTTCTTTCTTTCTTTCTTTCTTTCTTTCTTTCTTTCTTTCTTTCTTTCTTTGCTTCAGGTACCTTCCATTCTCCTGAGTGTCCACTGCATGAGCCAGCCAGTCTTGTGTAAGTAACTGTTGTTGGGTTCTGCCCTATTAAAACAAAAACAAAAACAAGCATCACAGAGCATTGTCAATACAGTGACATTTCCTCAAAGCCTCATGAAAGGTTTTTTCTGTCTTTCCTCCTTTTGGTGGGAAGACATTTTACAGGGAATAAAATAAGGAAAGAGAGGAGTAAGCACAATGAGCAGGTTTTCAGAACAAAACTAGGATGAGGAGGGGGAAAGGAGTGTGATGTCTTGTGTCATCTATAAACAACAATTAGAAGACATCACTGTCAGACCTCAGTAGACTCCCAAGGCAAAGGCAGCACTGGAAGGTAATCGGCTGCCTGCTTTGACCTACTAAAGAAGAACAGAAATGATAGAAAGAGATCCTCTATTTCCCCATCTCTCTCTGAAAAATATGAGGCCTCCTTCTCTACATTTTCTTATGAGGAAAAACTCCTTTCTGATATGAACACTGGGAGTAAATGCTGTCACTGCAGGACCACTGCGCATAAACCTTTTCAGATGCCAATGAAGGTGATGTGGAGAAGAAAAAGGCATTTCCCCAACACATACAAACAATGTAGAATAGATTCACAAAGTTCACTGCCACAGCAGCCAGCTTACTGTGGTGTTTAAAGTGTTGGGCTTCGAGGATGTGGAAGCTCAGGGTTCAAATTCCCACTCAGTTTGCATACATGAAGCTCACTAAAGGTGTATTCAGATATGAGGATTGTCATCTTAGCTTTCCTGAATGCAGCAATAGTGCTTCTGTCTTGAATTCTAACCCCTGTTGTGTTGATGGAACTGTGGCTGTTTGTTCAATATGTAGTGAAGGTGCTAGGCTAGCCTCCCTGGGGAGAGCATTCCACAAATGAGGAGCAGGAAAACAGGTAACCAGTCACTTTCCCTGCCATTGCTTTCCCTCTCTGCTGCTTTCCTCCTCTGCTGCCAGTCAGTGGAGACAATGCTGCAGATGTGGCAAGTTTAGCTTTAAATGTGAAATTTTACCAGATTTCTCCCAGATTTCTACTTCAAACCATCCAAATATTTCTAGCAAGCCCAATGAAAAAGCATGAAGACAATAGCTCTTCTCTGTCATTCTCGCCAAGCGGTCAGTGTTCAGAAGTATACAGTCTCTGAATATAGATGGCTGTAACCAAAAGCGTTTTACACTGAGTAGACCCACTGAAATGAAAGGACCTGATAGCCAGGTCCATTAATATCACTGGTTCTACTATGAACATTATTCAGCTTTGAAAGCTAAGCTGCAAAGTTGACCACTAGGCTGTTATTCCTTAACACTGGTTTAAATGTGTTTTACTGTGTTTTGACAATTGCTTTTAACATGTTTGTTTTTATTACTATGTATTTTATAATCATGTTTTCAAACATCGTAAGCCCAGGTTGGCCAAAAGATGGGATAGAAATGTTGGCATCCATCTGTCTCGAGAGAGACAATGGAGTACGCCTCTGAGGGTGAAGTCAAACTGCTGTGTAAGCTGGCTTGGGGCGCAAGCCTGGGCAGGCTGTATGGAGGTCCTGGGCTGTTCAGATGATAAGACAGTCCTCTTGGCCTTGCTGACGGGGTCCAAAGGAAAGCAGAGCAAGATGTCTGGCACCAGACTGGCTGCAGGAGTTGCCAGAAGGAGGCATAACAAGGCACCATTAGGATTTCTGTAAGGTTTATTCTCCCGAAGATATCCCGCATGGCAGCAGAGATTCAGGATGAAGAGTTTTTCTTCAACTAGATGGGCTAACTTCCCAGGTGGACAAGCCCCTTCTGCCCCTTATAAATGTGTCATCATCATCATTATAAATCAATAAAATTAGTAATAAGACAGTCCCTGCACTCAAGCATAACACACAAGGAACAAAAGTTTGGTAGAAAGTAGGAAAAAGTGGAAGCTTTGGCACCACTTCTTAAAGTCACTACTCTCATAATGACACTTATGATGAAATTTAGAATTATAGAATCATAGAGTTGTAAGGGACCATGAGGCTCCAACCCCCTGCAATGCAGGAATCTTTTGCCCAACATGGGGCTCAAACCCACAACCCTGAGATTAAGAGTCTCATGCTCTACCAACTGAGCTATGTATGGAAGTGCTTCCAGTAGCCTGCTGGAATGGTTGCCACTATGTGACAGTTGAGGGAAGGCCAGAGACAGCTGGTCTCCCAGCAGAGCTGGTGAAACAGCCCTGCCTCACTTCTCTCCCTCTGCTCCATAGCTTTAATGGAACGGGAGAGTTAGCAGCAGTCAGTCTCTCAGCACTGGGGGTGAATAACCCCGTTTCTTCACTTCTTTCAGTTGCCATCATTACCCTCATTTTAGAACAGTGTTAATTGGCTGATGCTGCATAGAAACAGGCAAACTGGATTTGATTCACACTGAGGATGCATTGAAGGGTGGGAGAGAAAAGCTGGGCGTTGCTGCAGGCAGCGGGATCACAGAATCGCAGAATAGTAGAGTTGGAAGGGACCACGAAGATCCTCTAGTCCAACCCCCCTGCAACGTAGGAATCTTTGGCCTAACATGAGGCTCGAACTTACAACCCAGAGGTTAAGAGTCTCATGCTCTACCACCGACTAAGCTATTTGGCCCAGTGATGGGAGTCACTTCTTGGGGGAGATATCAAAATACATTGTCCTTTGTTCCTTCTAGCCATTGGGGGCCAGGGACTGCACTCTTGTGCACGGGGCTGATAGATGGAGAAAGGACCCGAGTGAGAGGCAGAGAAGTGAAGATCCAGGTGGGGAGAAGAAAGCTCTCAGGTGAGAACTGGATGGGCCTGTCATTTTCTGTCAATGGCTGGTATTGAGAGCTGGCTTTGGACAGAAAGAAGGTTCTATATTTGTGCACTGTTTTTCTGTATTCTAAGACACCCTGAAACTGATTTTCCCCTCCCTTTATTTTTCTGCTCTTGTTAGAAAATCTGCATATTATTATGTACTTCTCCTTATTATGATTGTTTTGATTTTTATGTTGTATAGTTATTATGATATGCAGTGGACATTTGTGTTCTATGTTATAAACTGCCTTGTGGTCATTTGAAGAAAGGTGATACAGACATTTAATAAATAAAACAAAACTTCTAGGCATGGGTAAACCTAGCCAGTCAAGAATGGCATGATTAATAGGCTAGACAATCAGACTGGATGATGCCACCACACTATGCAGCCAGTCAGATTTAGGAACATGAGAATATTGCCAAGGGCATTCAAAGCAAATTCAAAGCTAAGTCAATTATCCCTGACTAGGGAGATTCTTTTGACCCCACTTGGAAAGGTCACTGGTGGGGTAGAGGAATTTCTCCTGTCTGCTGGAAACAGATTTTAAAAATATCACCCCTAAGGATGCATTAGCAAAATTCACTCGGAGAGCAAAACTGCACTTAAAAAGAAAGGAGTATAAAGTATGTTGCCAAATATAAGAGATTTTAGAGGACCTAACTGTAACTGATAGAGAATGTAAAATTGACAAAATTAGGGCAACTTGAAAAAATAAAATAAAAAAACCTCCCAAACCCAGAAGCAAGAAAGGGAAAGATTAAAGCAGAGCAATGTACAAACAGCCCTGGCAGTAATCTTACTTTTTTCTGTGAATATTATCCCTGCAACATTAATTCCCCTTAAAGGAAGCAACAAGTCTCAGGCTCACAGTATATTTTCCAAGCAGATTATCATAGCAAACATGTCAGTTGACAAGTCTGGTTGAAAACAGCAGGTTTCATGAAGCACATGAGTCTGGCTTACGTTAGTAAGAGGGCTTTAGAACACCACATTGGAAGGTGTCTCATACTAGCAACATAGGAAGAGGCCTTATACTGAGACAAACCTGTTGGTTTGTCTAGCGCACCATTGTCTACACAGGCCAGCAGCAGTGGCAGACTTTGGGCTCTCAAATTTCAGCAGTGTGGTGCTAATCTTTGGGGGAGGGGGACACCTCTATTGCTCCATTCTACATCATTTTTGCTGCTCCTAAAATGCCTCTGCTGGTGATGGTTCTTCAGGGTTTCAGGAAGGTCTCCCAGCCCTACGTGGAGATGTTGGGAATTGAACCTGGAACCTTCTGCATGCAAGGCAAATGGTCTGGCACTGAGCAACAGTCTTTCCCTTTTTTTCTGCTACCAGATCTGTTACTGCAGAGGTCGGAAACCTCATGAGCAATGGGCAAATGTGGCCCTGAATGCCTCTCTGTCCCACCCTCCAGTTTGCACCCTCTCCTCAGCACTCTCTTTTCCCCCCTCACACACCTCACTATTCTTGCTTTGCACTCCCTTTGTGTGTTTTTGCCTGCTTGGAATATGTCCTTACACTCTGGTTGTTATAGTTGTTTTTTTTTGTTTTTTTTTAGAACACAGCATCAGTTCTATGCTAAAACTGTTTCTTTCTTTCTAAAACATGCCCTTTGAAATGCAAGTTTCTCCCCTATAGCCCTTATCTTTGGCTTGCAGAAAAGACTATAAAGGCCCCCAATTCAGAAGTCACCCCAAGGGCAAGGGTGCCATCTCCCTTGCTCTCTAAAGCTTTATTTGCAGGCCTCAGTCGGGATGAATGTACGCTGCTGTCTGGGTGAGAGCCAGAGTAGGAGTGTCTGCAGAGGTGGAATGGGACTCCTGAATGTCTGAAAATTGATCTTGGGGTCCAAACTATTGAGAATAGATGGATTTGGAGTGTATGGATGTTTAGTATACTATTTTTTTTTCTGTTATAAGCATTGTTCTCTATCTTGTTCAGTTTTAAGCTGTCAAATAAGGTCTGTTAAATGATCTCATTTCTATTCATTTCATTCATATCTACCCAGACCCTGGGATCAGCATCTGAGGCCCTTCTTCATGTGCCTCCTCCACAAGAGGTCCCAAGGGCAGCAGCATCAGGAGAGCAGGACTTTTCTGCAGTGACTCCCTTTGTGTGGAATGCTCTCCCCAAGCAGGCTCACCTGGCACCTTCATTACATATCTTAGGTGTCATGAATGATTTAGTTGCAGGGGGTTGGATTAAATGACCCTTGGGGTCACTTCCAACTCTACAGTTCTATGATTCACTTTGCCTATGGCCCCACCCACCACTAGCATGTGACACACACACCACACCAGAAAGGAATCAGGCCCTGAGGACAAAACAAAATTTCTCTACTCAGGTGTATGGGTTGCACCTTTCTGATTGTGGTTGTTAGCACATGCTGAAATCATCACTGGATTCCACCACAGAGGTTTTCTCATTTCCACCTCCATGATGCTCTTGCTACTCGAAGCAAAGCTAAACCACACACAGTTCTAGGGCATGTACAGAGTTCTGGCTGAATTAGGGTACTCTGCAACAATCGGTCTATCTTGCTAGGTTGTGTTTCCTTCCACTGGCCTTGAGATAGGGGAGAAATTCAATCCATTTAATAATATATAATAATTATTTCTTATTTGTATCCTGCCCTCCCCAGCCAAGGCCTGGCTCAGAGTGGCTAACATCATAAAAACAACACAATATACATAAAAACAGACATCAATTAATTAAAATACATCTTTAAATTATTTAACATTTAAAAGTGAACCTATGTCACATCATCCAACATAATATGAGAACCAAAATTCTCACTTGAAATTCACACTTCTCCAAATTCTGCAATGCAGTTTTCCAGTCAAGCAATGCATTACAAAAACGCATAAGCTACGGTAAAGCGTGCATACGAATGCAATTAATGGTGAAGGTAACATACAAAAATGCATTATATTAGGGGAAATAATATACTCATTTGTGTACATTACGAGAGAATGTGGTGAATTTTCATGAGAAAATTAATTCACAAGCTGATGTTGAAATGTGTTGAGCTAAACTAGAAAAAATAAGAAACTGAGAGAAACTTAAATTTTCAGCTTCACTCATTGCTAGTGGCTAGTTTAGACAACTTTGACAAGAATGACTAACCAATGACTCAGAGGTATATGGTCTGAATAGGGAAGCTCCACTTAACTAATAACTATTGATAGACCTAGCCTCTATTAATTCGCCCATCCCTACTGGCACCTGACCTTCAGATTCCAGATGTCAGGCTTTTTGTCCACCTCTGCCTGGATATTCTGGACCCTGAATCAGAGACTTTCAGGATTCAAAAAACCAACAACCCTGAGCTTTTCCACTGAGCTACAGCCAGATATCTGAGACCCAACCAATCTTATTTGCAACACTGCCCAGTCACAGGAGAGGGTGTGACGACTAACACTTGCTAATCATCTCTTGAAATGATACTACAGATGAAAAAAAATTAGCATTCCAATCAGCCCAGGGGGCAAGGGGTGGTAGGAAGGAAGGTGGAGGTAGCAGGGTAGATGTTAATAATTAGGGAGCCCCATAGGTTTGGGGTTAAGAAGCTTACATAGCCAAACAAGGAGAGAAGGGAATGCAGCTTGTCAGGTTCAGGACTTTGGTCCTCACTCCTTCCTTAATTGCATGAAGAAGGAATGCAAAGAGGAGGCAACTGAGAGGAGGAGAAGTAGCAGGATTAAGGGGCTTTGGAGACTGACAGCAAGGACCCTACTTGCCAGATGGTGCCAACACCTAATGCTGGTTTTGCAGTGTGTGGTTTCAAGCAGCCACATTGGCTCTTGTGCACATTCTGTGTAGCTTTTTTAAAAAGAAAAATGAAATTGATGCAATACTGGAACAACCCAGGTAGGGTAGATTGAGTTCTTCTAGGCCTAAGAAATCCTGAGGTTATGTTTACAGGAAGCGGGAAATGCCCATAAATTGCAGTTTCTGTTTGTCAAATTGTATCCGACTTCAAAGGAAACAACTTGTTGTGAATAATGGATGCTATACAAGGAACCAGCCTCAGCCTTCGGAGACTGCAGTGAGAAATGTGCTCTTGGCTGACACGTGCCTCCCTGATGCAGGCGGTAGGTTACTCGCAGTAGCTTGGAGAGGTCTCCTGGATAAACTGGAGGAAGCTAGCTGGAAGTAATCTGGAACCATGCAGAGACGCAGATTTGACGGCATTTCTTCTGCTTTATTTGGCACAGTGCTCGGTTGCAGCGGCTCTGCCTTCCGTGTATTTACAGCTTCATGCTGCTTCCCCTCACATCGGTTCTTCAAAACGGTTGCCTGTGCAAAGACAGATTCTGTGCTGGCTTTCTCTCTCTCCCTCCCTCCTTCATTCTACAACTCCGACAGGCAGTTGACTTGACATATCCAGCGAAGGGCTGGGAGGTGGGGCGACCATTCCCTCGCTGCCTTAAGAAAGGACATGCCCAGTCATCTGAAGAATCATGACAAGACTTTTCTGTACAGGCATTTTGAGTTTTGTAATATCAGATGCTGCTTGTGGAGGAGAGCAGTTGTTACTGCTCCGTCTGGCAGGAAGAAGATGTTACAGACTTGTTAACTATAAATTATTTTGTCATGGATGTTCCAGGATTCAGCTAGGCTCAGGGCAGCATATATGCTTTGTTTCACAACAAACCAGATGTAGTGACGGCTACCAACATGGACAGCTTTAAAAGAGTATTGCAGAAATGCATGGAGGTTAAAGGTTGTTAAGGGATAACAGCCATGATAGCTATGTCGTGCCTCCGCTGAAAGAAGCACGATGCCCCAGCAAAACATTTCCC